ATGTTTGCAAGTTGTTGTTCACGCCGGATTACCTCCAAGCTTGTCTGTAGAGACTGTACAACTCCAGAACCCCAGACCCTGAACCTACAAAGTTGCGCTATTAGTTGAAGGGTTTAGGGGCGTTTAGTTTAAGGTCACAAGTTACATTTTTTCTGAAGGAAGCTATCACCGACCTTTTCTGCCCTGTTCTGTTCCAGAGTTGTTTCCTGCGTACCTTGCGCTGTCCTGAGTCAGACGGGCCTCAGCTTGGAAGGATTCCGGGGCCGCAGGTGTTGAACTTGGCAACTGAATTTCCGAGAGTATTGTGGAGTTTGGAGTGTAGAGTTTAGGGGCAACTGGGAGATGGGGTATAGTTCTGCGCTATGTTCTGCGTGAGGGTTATATGCAAAAACGGCTTCGGGCTCAGCACACGAAGGTGGAGGTTGTGTGCCCCAACTAAATCCTGCACCCCTAAACCCTACTTGGAGGCCCTTTCGACTTAGTAAGTAGGGTTAGTAAGGTGGGTTATGGGGATTATAATAGGGTTTCTAGGGGATACTAAGTAGACTTACTAAGTCAAAAGGGCCCCCAAGTAACCGCCATGCCGGGCCGTTGATTTTCAGCTGTGAGCATCTCCAGAGCACTCAAAGGATTCATAATGGGGCCTAAATTATTAGCAATACTATTTTGGGGGGTTCCTTATTATAGCTATAACTATAGTAGAATGGGCCCCAAAACACTATTCTAATTGTTGAGGCCCCTACAAGAGGGACTTCGGTTTTCTGCTGAGGTTCTCTTCAAGGAGGGTTCAATAGTTTCAGGACAGGACGAGGAGACTGCAACTGGGATTCCTGGAGTCTCGTACGGTTTTTGGTTTAGCCATCCATGCACTTAGATTTAGGGTTCAGGGTTTGGGGGGGCTGTTGCACTGGAAACACGGTGCGTATCTGTTTCGTGCGCTTTCTTCCAAGCACGGTGCCCGTCCACGTGCAGACAGGGATGCCAACTCAGCCTTGGCTAATATAGGGGCCTTTTTTGTTTAGCTATACTATTTTGGGGCTTCCTGACTTTAATTACAATATTAATATAATGAGCCCAAAAACATAGTCTCATTATTAAGGTCCCTATATCTAAGCAGAATTACGGTTGAGGACTTAGGGTTTATAGGGTTTACGGCCTTTAGCATCATCCATGGTGGTTGTCTGTAGCGTAGCAGCCCTTGGACTGCATGGTCATGTATGGTGGTCAGCTACACTGATGACCATCAAACTTGTCAAAGAGTAAGGTCGCTGAACCCGCAACTCCCAACGATCGCAAAGCCCCGAGGCTTATATGACTAAAGCTTGTCTCGGGTTTTTGTGAGACAGATAAGACACTACCTCGAAGTCTCAGATGTCATCCAAACGACTCAATAGTTCGTCATAGCATCTTCCAGGGCTCCCTAGCACAGTCATAGCGCCCCTGCATGGTTTTGCTTAGTAGGGCTCCCTCAATGTAACCAGTGAGGCCCCTTTTTGTTTCCTGGTTGCTGGCTCCAGAATGAATCCCTCATTCGCATGTTTTGGCATTCCTCAGGGTTATCTAGTGTGTGCCGCCAGCACAGAAGGGGCCTTAGTAACTAGAACAGGGGGTTCTAAAGGTTGTTTGGCCCTGTAATAAGGGGAGTGGCCTTTGATTAGAATAGGGTTTGCGGTAGCTTATAGTTTAATTGCACAGACTCCCTAATCACTCGCAACTACCTACGCAGACCTCTTTATGCTACCCTGGAGCATTCCGAGATCCTAGCTAGGCCTTACATATCATGGCCGCCCAGCCCTTTCGCGCTGAGCCGAGGGTTTTTCTAAACTTTCGGGCAATGTCGCCGATATTCAGTGAAGTGCCAGTAAACTCATCAGCAAGAATGTCAACGGGTGCCAGTCAACGTTATCGCCTTTCAGACTAGATTGAAGCAGGAATAGCAACAAATCGTGACGAAGAATTCCATATGCAGATATTGGGGTGAGCCCGGACGGAAACAACAAGGCATGTCTTGGCGTCCTGCTGGCACAAGTCCTAGTCTGAACATCTGAAGAACATTTCGCCTCCAATGTCAAAGGGCTCCGCAAATCGCAGAGCCATCCTTTCATGGGCATGCAAGATCCTCAGGTTGGCTTCACAATTGTGGCTAGTTGAAGTCGGTTTCCGGATTGGGTCGTTTCGCAGGTTACCGGCCCGCTTTGGGTGCTTGAGATTCTCTGTATCATCTGAACCTGCTCCAGACGGCGTCTTGCACACCCGCCGCAAAATCGACGAGCTGCCAGCGAGACCCAAAATAAGTTTCTTGTGCTACCAGGAGCCGACCGAGCTTGGTGCCGCCGCCATTGATCGGCACTCCAAAGAGCTGCACGCTCCTCGTTTGTTTTTGGCTTGAACTGTTCTTCTGTTGGTCACCGTCGTCGTCGTCGTCAAGGTCGTCGTGGTGGTGGCGGTGGTGAGGCGGTTCGTTGGTTGCTTCTGATGCTGTTCCTATGATGATGATGATGATACCAGTAATGGGAATCATATCTCTCATGCTCACAACAGCAAGATTTAGACTTGCGGTACTGGCTTGCTACGACCGTCCGCAGCTACGTGAAGAAAAGGGCCCGGGAACCTGGTTGCCCCGATCCGCCGGCAAAGCAGGCTGGAGATTGGGTGTTGCGAAGGCACTCATGTTTTCTTCTGCTGTTCTTGGAGTTTAGGGCAATTGAAAGTGACGTTGCAAAAGGGTAATTGCAAGCAGACTTGTGTTATTTCAGGGGCCTGCTGCAAAAAAAGACTGTAGGGCTTGTGGCTTAGTTCCACGAATTGAAAGGCGATTCGGAACTTCTGCAGTCGACCAACTTGGACCAATGCCTTTCAGAAACAGAGATTTGAGTGGCCCTAAGCCTCAGTTTTGCATGGAACTGGCAACCCGAAGTTGACCTGACCCATAAGGTTGGGGGGTTGCGGGGAGAAGGCCTAGGCAGTTTGGGGGTAAGATGCCAGAGGGACCCCTGTTACTGTTCCAAGAGTGGGAACTATTCCGTAGGTGCATGAGGAACATTGAGGAACCCTGGTTTGGGACTGGGTTTTAAAAACTCCAACTGACATGAGCTTGGCCCGAGGTTTCGACAAGTCTGCCCTTGCCAGTCTTTGTTTTTGCCCTAGGGTCCAGGAGTTTAGGGTTCATGCTTCCAGCTGGGTTCTACTTGCGGCGCGTCCGAGCATCGGGCTTTGTTGCCGACGCTTTTGTCCGAACGCTCTTACTGCATTGCTGCAGTGGTTTAAGAGCCCCGTGACAGGTCCAAATCAGCACCAGAGATGAAGAAGACGGACACTTGCCGACAAACACAGTGTTCAGGGTCAAGGGGTCCAGTAAGGGTACGGCTTGCAGGTTCTATTAGGCTTCTATATCATGCTTGGGGTATGGAGTATGGAGCGGCTGTTGCGCACCCCATGCTGGAATCGACTGAAGCGCGACGTCGGCCCTTTGCAGCCAAGAGCCACAATTTGGAAGAGTCTCTCTACACATTGGCTGTCGAAAGGGTGTGGCATGAGTTAATTGTTCCCTTTCAGCCTTAGAAAACTGAAAAACTAAAACTGAATGACATGACATACCCAGAACACCCTGCTCCAACTGTTAATGCCCTATCTGAACCTGCATAAAGAAACTCTGCTTGTAATTGGCAGTTCTCTAGCAAAAAACAGGTCGGAATAACAACTCATTGATTGTGTTCCCTTGTAGCCCCCTTACCATAACGTCCTGTTATAGTTATACACCGAAATATCCTATGATTGTCAAGGACCCTATTTTTCATATAGCTATGACGATGAACTTTGGAGGTGAGCCCCGACAGTCTGCAGGTGATTCTTACTGGTAATGAAGAATTCTAAAGACTTACGAGTATCATTCCTCAGGGATCCTCAATATTATAAGTATACTGTAAGATACCCCAAGCCCTACTCAAATTTCTACTGCCACTACAGTAAGCACATCAGCCTCCCCCTTGGTTGGGGACAAGTCGCAGGAGTCGTTCACGCTGGTTTGTTCTTTCATGTTCTTTCCCAGAGAGTCCAATAACCTTTCTATGGGGCACGTTCACGTTAGGAACGATGTGGTCTGCGAACAAGATCTTAAGCCCTTATTGTAACTCTTGTTTTCAATATAGGAAACCATACACTCTGTTGCAAGCATCGTCGTTCGATCTCCTCAGTTAATAAGATAGAAGCCCGAAAAGCCCGAAAACTTAGCCATACTCTTAGTTGGGGTCTCTTGTTGCATAGTTGTAGCGCAGATATACCCCAAAGCATGACTCTAATACTCAAGGCCCCTCAATGAAACCCTACACCCTAAATCCCCTATTGAACTCTTGAATGAGGGGAGTCCTTCAAAGGAGGAACCCTATTCTATAATTGTTTTGCACCCTAGGCCCCTGCTAACTACGGGATGTCGGGCCTCCTGCATGCCTGTGGCAGATGGCCCAAGAGCAGGCCCCGCGAGTAGACCTCGAGGTTAAAATTCTAACTTTTTCGGGTTCCCTAATTTGGGTTTAGGGTTTAGGGTTCTTTGTCGGACCGGGCTGCTGGACAACGAGGCCTGCTGCAAAAAGGGTTCTTTGGGGGGTGGTCCCTGTGTCAGGCATGGAACTATCTAGGGTGTAAAACCAAGACTGCTTTGGAATCATTCTTCAAACTACTCACGGCTGCGTGTCTGAACCCCAAAGAAAGGATTGATAGCATTTACCGCAAGGGTCCAAAGGACCCAATAATATTGTACTCGGCTTTAGGATAGTAGTTATGTAGGTTGGGATTTTGGAGAGTATATGATTATTAGGTACTTGGACCCTTAGGGTTAGTTTCAAGTATGGCTCCACCAACTCACTGACCGAAGCCTAAGCACTTGAGCTGTACCGTAATTACACCTCGCAACTTATGCCGATTTACCAACTGAAGGGTTCTTCTTTCTTCGTACCATTATTCATCATCGTTCTTATACCCTAAACCCTAAACCCTGAGTTAACATGGCAGCTTGCGACCTTGTCCACTCTGCTTACTTTCGCTGGGTAGTGGCGCTTGCCCTGGCTGCTGTGATCCTTGGACTGTGCTTCCTCAGCTCGATCGGGAATGCGCTTCTCGCAGTTTGGCTTTATGCCATGGGCCGTTATGTCTTGAGCAAGAATTCGATTCCTGTCGCTTTACCTTTCAGGATCGCACTGGCGGCCGTGATCTTGATTGGCTTAGTCTTTCTGATGCTGGCTGGGAGGATATCGCTTGAGGGCGGTCAAGGCTGCGAAGTTCGGGACCTTGCCATGGAGAGCATGGTTCGCAAGAGCCGACTGCAGCTTGATTTTCGACTTTGCTTAAATCCGCTGCTGGCCATCATTGCAATGTATATGACCTTAGCTGAGCATCCGGCTTCCAGCTACATCCGTGAGTCCATCCGGTGCATCTTGTTCATGTGCTTGGGGCAGGCCTCGCAGACGCTTCAGGTCAGCATTCATGCCTGCAAGGGCGGCGACATGCAGAATGACTTGCAGGACGCTGCCTTCCGTAGCCTGCATGATGCCCTGGGTTCATATGCTATGGCCGCTGGCTTCCTCGGCGACATTTGGTGCCTCCAGCTGGTAATGAACCGCCTCCAGACGCTGGAGGAAGCCTTTGGCGAGCCATTCAGCTCTCGAATACCAACGTTTTGGGCTTAGGGTCTTGGGCGTTGGTTCTGTCAGGCTATTGTAAGTCACTGAATTTGGATCCTCCTGTTTTCTTGCATTGTTGGGGAAGTAAGGCCATTGCCATGTTCAAGGTTCATCGTTTGGCTGATTCGCATCGGGACCCTTTGGTTTGTGGTGGCTCCCCTGGCTTTCTTTGGCCCTATGGGAGCGACACGAGAGTTCATCGTGGTGAGCGTTGGCTTTGGCATCCTCAACATCTTGACCATAGCACAGCTGTTTTGGTGTGCTTACCTCCCGCCACTGCATGCCTTGAGAGACGCAAGGAAGATACTTATTGGCTGTGAATTCAGCTTTTCAACCTGTGGGGTTCTTATAAGGTAGTCGATTCTTAAAGTTTCAACTTATATTTCCTTGGGTTTTCGGCCAGTGAGGATACTGGGAGAAGACACTCATGACAGCTCGACCCAGTTCGAGAGGGAGGCGACCTTTGCCATCTGTGTCATTCGAAACTGGCTTCTTGTTAAGGGGGTCTAATTCAAGTTACCATGATAAGGAGACCATACTGGGTTCTTGTTAAGGGGTTCAATTCAAGTTACCATGAAAAGGAAACCATATTGTAGATCCCTGTTTGTTGTGGTAACTTAAATAAGATTCCTGAACAAGAACCCAGGAAAGTCCCAGGTGGCAACTCTTTTTGCGAGCTTGTCCATGGTGGTCCATTTGGCCGCGATCGGCAGCGCCTGGATGAACATCCCGGGAGGGTGGGACGTGTACCAGTATGCAGCCATGATTGATGTTTTTGGAAATTCTATTTGTTTGTTGGTTCTGGCGGGAAATTCGCTGTCTCTACCTCGTCTCTGCCGCATTCACAGAAGCCTGGGACGAAGCAAGGCAAAGGAACCTGCGGATACCAAGCATGAGAACCTGCGGGACTGCACTTGCGGGAAGCAGGTGGGACTGATGATCTTCTTTGGGTGTTTTCCAGAAGAAACCAAACCAACGCCCTTGAAGTAAGCCGTACATGAACTTAGCATTGATGTGCTCGTGATCTACACACGCCAACGCTCACCTGGACGTAAGGGCCCCTACTTTGAGAGTCCGGGATGTTGAGAGTAAAGTTACGGGCCGAACTAGTCGAGGGTACCTTCGCAGACAGGCCTCCAAACAAAAAGCGCTCGTTTTGATCATCATGCCTTAGATTAATAGCAGGTGGGACACAGAACGGCTTCCCGCAGCCGCCCGGTCGACGCATGTGCTTCCACACGTAGCTGCGACAAGTGCGCCTGGGAGGAGAAGGTCCATGACTTGGGGAGCCGTCGCATCTGCTTATCCCAGCTTTTGGACTTCTACGCTCGTCTGGGGGAGAGAGGGTGCCCGGGCGAGCGGACACTGATGCCGCATTTCGACCCTAATAGGTCGACAACCAACGATGTCGTGAGACATGCCATCATTCCAGAATCTCGATGTGGACATGTTGGTAAGGCATTGGCCCAGGTTCTACCCCGACGCCCTCGCAGCAGGTGGCGATCACCGCGCCCTGTCATGGTCACGCACCACTGGGCAAATAGCTTTCGTGATCTTGTGGCAGCAGTAGTGGCGAATGGTCTCGGCTTGAAACGATGGGACAGTATCGCAGAGCAGCTGTCATCATGCAAAGAGCAGGATTTGAAGGAAAGTTTGTACAGGCTCGGGGCGGCAGATTGCGAGTATTGGATCTGCGCCATTTGTGTAAACCAGCATGCAAGCATCTGCGGCTCCTCCATGGGTGTCCGGGACACTGTGACTGGAGAGGTGCTTCCGTGGTGCGACTGTTCGACACCCAAGTACTTCAATGACCAGCCGGTGCAGTGTGAGCTCAACAAGTTTGACAGCATGATGGCACACCTGCATGACATATACAAAGGCGGATTCCTGCAGGTCGTCGCCATCGACATTCAATTTCAGCTCTTCTCTAGGGCATGGTGCGTGGCCGAATTAGTCGAGGCTAACTCCCGTCGCATGGAGCAGCATGTGATGCTTCATTCGCCTGAGCCTGGGTCTTTGATAAGGAGTTTACTGTAAAGCTTAATTTGCCATCATCGGGAACGAAGTAAACTTGTGACAATAGCTGTAGACATAGTTAGTTGTTTAAAATTCCATGGAAGCCGTACAACAAATCCTATATAGCTAAATGGACCCACGAAGTTCCTTAAATCCCCCAAAACCCACAAATCTCATCTAAAGCCCTAAACACTAAACCCTAGAAGCCCTTCTTCAAAACGGAGGAGACCCTGGAGAGCCACTCCGGAGCTTTGTCCTCGCTTTCGGTGGAGCACTGCTCCGCTTCCCGACCCGAGGACCATTAATCGCCAAAAGAGTTTCCTCAAGAACCCCGAAGTACCCTTTAATGGAGCCCTTATGGTCCTTCATAGTGCGTATTCAGGGTGTATTAGAGGGTATTTGGGGGTCTAGGTAAGAGCTTAAGCTTTGCCGCTGGGAGTGACAACAGGGTTCCCAAAAAGGTTTCTGCCTGCCTCCCTGCCTACCCACCTGCCTATCTACGTAGCCACCCAGCTAGCTATCCTGTCTTGTTTAAACTTATCTTATCTTATCTACGCCTCTATCTCTGAATCTCTCCATCTGTCGGTCTATCAGCCTATACAGGTCTATCTATGTATCTATCCGTAGATCTACCTACCGATCTGGTTATCTACATATCTTATCTTGTCTAATCTGTGTTTATCTGATCTTACCTTGGTTGACTGATCTTCATATCCAGTCTATCTATCGTTCCTTGGTTGTTTTTCGTGTTTATTTATCCTATTATTTCCGTCTGTCTTTCTTTCTAGCTGTATCTAGATCAATATCTGCATCCATTATCTATATGCGTAGGTCCATTCCATCTGTGTCTGTTGTATCTGGATCTATATCTGCATGTATCAGTTGTGTCTATGTCAGTATCTAGGTCTATATCTGTCTATGTATCTATATCTAAAACTAAAACCATGTTCGTACCTTTATCTCTATCAGTATCTAGATATCTATGGCTTTATATACACCTCTCGAAATCCATTTATACCGCCGCGGGTTTGTTCCCATCTGGTTATCGAAATCATATCCGTTGACCAGAAGCTGTAAAGGTTAGCCATGTGCGGGTTTCCGCAAAGAGGGGATCCTACTACAGTACCCTAAATGGTCGGATCCTGATTATAAGGACCCCAACTAAGGTACCCCTAATTTTGGATTTCGGAAACTCCCATGTCTGTTGCCAACTCCGAGAGACTAGGACAAGGAGGCGATCCTCTCGAAGATCGGGGGGCAGCTGGAGATCCAGGAGTTTCCCAGCTCTCCAAGACCATACTTTTCGGGGACATGGAATGAACGTTTTTGTTGGTTTTTTTGTTGCGTTTTTTGTTGCGTCCTGAACCCTACACGTTATATAAGCCCACATGCATAAGTACACATGATCGGAGCAATTTGCATTTCATTTCGGAGCTGGGTCGGGAGAGCAAGGTTCAACCAGAGCCTACGGAGGCTGCTGCTGGGATCTGAGGGGCTGCTGGCAGGCTGGCTGGATGCCGAAACCTGGGTTTGGAGTACCATACTTGAATACTTTTTTTGGTACCTGTCCCTTAATCCCTTAAAGGAACCATTATGAAATAAAGGTCGTCCATACTTGTTTCTCCCTGGTTACTTCTCGGCCTAGGAAAAGATGTCGCAGGAGGTTGGTACCATAGCAGCCCGTGCCAGAGCACGGGTCAACAGCCGATCGGACAGCCTCGTATCAATCGTTGGCGAGGGTTCTTCTCGGAAGTCCGGCCCCACTCCCGAAAGAAATAAAGCCCCGGGACTTGGGGTGTTGGGGAAGGCCGAGAATCTTTCGCCTGGCCCGCCATCCGAAAACAAAGCGGTGACTTCCTCGACAGCCTTGAACTGCACCCCCTTGGGATGCTTTCTACTTCGGTCCCAGTTCCTCCGGGAGGCCTCTCCCGGGCCAGAGGTTTGATAAGTGGCTGGTTGACAGCTTCTTATCAGTCTCGTTATGATGATCATTATTATGTTATGATGACAAGCATTACACTAAAGGTGCCGCGATGAGACTTTCGATGCATGGTTTAGCTTTGTGCCGTGCTTTCTCCTGAAAATCACAGGAGAAACTTGCCAGCAGTTATTGCCTCTTGCTCCCAGGCCGTGCCAAAAGATGCCAGCCGTCTCTTGTTCTTGCAAGCCCACCTGCTGAGTAGTCGAGCTGCGAGGCTGAAAAAGTACGACTAGCTTGCAGCACGGATACGGATGTTGATCATTGAGCTCTCGACTACCAGTCTCCTATCTCCAACATGCACAAACCCCATCCCGAAGCCCCAACCCTTTGATCATGGCATATGCTCGCATTATCTCGCATTTATTTCCATGCAACACAGGTCTCACCTCCACCCCACAGCGCACCAAGAACCCCGCCTGGTTTGGCCGGGTTTGAGCGCAGAAACCCCATCCACTCCCAGAGCCCTAACCCTGAACATGAAACCCTACACCCCAAAAAGGCCATTAAAAAGTGCACTCCAGGAAGATCTGGCCAATGATGAGATCATCGAGAAGTGCCTTGAGGTGAAAGGAGGCCGTGGGGACTTTCTCAGAGCGCGCCGACACGTCCCTCCCAGTTCCGATCCTCATAGGAGGCCAAAAGGGGTTTTAGCCTACGGGGTTTAGTAGGGATGAGGGTTCCCATAATAGGGTTCATATTAAGGAATCCCTAACCCAAGAATCTTAAACCCCCCTTTTAGCCTCCCATCAGATCCACTCTTTGGGCTGGCCGTTGACTGGGTTGTAGTCCTACGGCTTGTGCAAATTTGGGTTCAGGGTCAGGGTTTGGGGTAAACCAGATACTTTCTTTGCCGCAAAGTGCTCGCCCGAGCTCCCCTAGCCCTAGAAAGGGTCAGTAGAGTCAGTAGATCTGTCTGGTGTTCAGGAAAGCCTGGCAAGCTGGTCCAGATCCCGGAGGGCCAGGCGGCGTCAAGGGTTGAGGGTTAGAGCTTTCCTGGAAAAATCGAATACGGTTTTGGCGTATACTGAACCCGAAGGAACAGAATTGGTAGTGCCCCAGGCTTCTATAAAGTAAGCCCAATAAAGTTGGAAACCGGATCAAGGCCAAATAGTGCTGGGATTGCCTATACAATACTCTTAAGGATTGAGGCTATTGGGTTTCCAACTTTTTGGCTTCTGCTGTACGAGGGAATGGAGTTTGAGGGTGTAGCTGGATGCATCTTGGCAAGTTGGCCATGGGGCAAAGCATTTTCAGGACTGATCAACCGTCCAACATACTACGGTTTAGGGTTTAGGGTGTTTAGGCTTTATGTTCAGGAGAAGCTTGAATAAGTACCAATGCTGAAGGCCCTTTCTTTCCTGTTCGCCTGATCGACACAAACCTACCGGGCAGTTTCCGAGAATTAGACTGTTCAGGGTACTGTATTCGGGTCCCCTGTTTTCGGAAACTCCCACCTCATGACTTCGGATTCACTCGGAGACCACCGTGTGTCGGACAAGCAAACCAGAGCAGCACTTAAACCCCCTGAACTCCTCCAGCCGCCAACCCTAAGCCCCGAAAACTAAAGCTCAAATGGAAAAGGGACGCCCCCCCCCCCCCCCCCCCCCCCCCCCCAAAAAAAAAAAAAATCAACCCAAGCCATAATCTACCGAAGCTCTTGAACAAAATCCATTGCTCCGAAGAGGTCAAGAGTCTTTGCACCTCCGCCCGGCTCCCAGGTAAAAGGGGGGAAGTTGTGGCATCGGGGTTTGATGGGCTCTTGTTATAAGGGGTGTCTTTTTAAGTTACCATAATAAAGGAAACCATATTGCTTACTATAGATCCCTATTATGGTAAACTGAAATTATTCTCTCGGGCGGGACACAAAAGCTCGTTGATAAGAGTAACCAATGTACCTCAAAGAAGGAGGTGACCCTACGCAAAGTACACTTCCTTGAAGGTACATAGAATACTCTTGGGTAGAGGACATTATACAAGGGGTTGCTACACAGGCTCCTCAGAGGACAGTGCTGTAGAGTACCCTGTAAAATTAGCAACTGGACAGACGTTATCGTAGGTTCAATTTAAAATCCTAGATCGTAAAGTCCCCGAGCTCTGCACCCCTTAATAAGCCCAGACCCGCATCCTTGAATCCTTTTAGCCAAAATCCTGCAGTCCTGAACCGTAAGCCCTAAACCCAAGACTTAAATGCCCATAACTGCAGCTACCAAGGCGAGAGGCGTTTTCCTGGAGCAGAGCCCATTGCTGGAGCTGGAGGCCACCACTTCTTTGTGTTAAGGGCTTTACGGTTCACGATTTGGTTTAGGGTTTGGGGTTTAGATTCTGAGTTCAAAAGGGCTTAGGGTTTAGAATGCTTGGGCATCATATGTAAGAGAGTAGCAGTCATGGTGTACTAGCACGAGTAAAGTACTACCACAGTATGCATCAAGCCGGAGTTCCGGGAAGGCTGGTTGTACAAGGCAGCTCACACAAACTAATACAGGGGCCTTAATAATTACCTAAACTACTATTTTGGGGGCTCCTTAGTATAACTATGGTATAGTGGGCCCCAAAATCCTATTCTTATGAAGGCCCCTACTATATGAACTCGAAGTGTCAAAACAATGATGTCCACAGGCGCCGCTGAAGATCTGCGGAGACGTCCACGGCCAATACCACGACCTCCTTCGCCTGTTCGTGCTTTGGATGAGTTTAGTCTGTGTGATTCGGTGTGTAGCCAGATCAGCCAGTGTAGTCTTATTGCTCCTTCCGAGAGACGCACTGGCCTCTGCTTCTTGGATGGGTCTCTGAAGCCATGGCCCTGAAACCAGGAGTACGGCGGTTTTCCACCTGAGAGCAACTACCTGTTCCTAGGCGCGAGCGGGCTTACCATGCCAGCACTGAGGGTAAAACTTGGCTCGTTGTAACTCATTCGTGTTGTCCACGAGCTGACGGCTTTTGGTTCGGTAGCTCCCTGTAGACACAGCAGGGTTTGCAGTTTAGTTGTAACGGTTCGCGGTTAGGACCGTAAATATGGACTCTGCTGTAGGAATATTATTTGAGGACTGATGTTGGCGTGCCGAAGACAGAAGCGGACTGTAAAGGTTGGGATTTCGAGGCAGACCCCCAAACCCGAAACCCTCCAACCGACCGTGACCTTTCGGGGTTGGGGTTTGTAATCCTCAGCCCTAAACCACAGACAATGCGCCAGTAATCACCGAAGTCATGAACCCTAAGTCCTAAGCCCTAGCCATGTAACCCCGATTTCGTGATGCTGATCCAATGTGGCATCCTTGGGTGGGCCTACCGGGCTCAGACGCGTGGCCCGGACGTGTCCCAATCCTGAGAGTCGAAACCCTTTGCCCCTAAACCCTTATGACTTCCACGAACAGATCACAGTGATTACGCCGACCTGCTATAGGCTGCTAGCTGACTCCACGAACCCCGTTGACTGTGATCTGCCGATTGTATGCCTCGAAATCCAAAGTCACGCTTAGGCCCACTAGCCACTGCTTTCGGTTCCAGTTGGATTTTGAGAGGGGGATGCGAGTAGTCCAATGATCTTTATAGTGTTCCCACTAGAGTTGTTTCACTCATCAGACCTCGAACCGCATGCCTCGCCTGGATTGTCCGACTGTCAGCGCCGAAACCCTCATGATAATTAACCCTTTTGGTATAAACCCTTGAGCCCGCCCGTTGGATCAGGCGACTACGTGGACCGCGGGAAGCAGAGCCTGGAGACCATTACCTTGCTTTTTGCCTACAAGGTGCGTGGTTTGGAGTTTGAGGTTTTTCATAGTTTGCTGTTTGCCTCCGAAGTGATGGATTTAGGGTTTACGGTGTTTCATGCTAGAATTGAGTCCAGTAGTGAAAAGGGTGTTTCATATTCTGCTGTCTGCCGGAAACGTGCTGGCTTTCTTGTCATAGAGGGGTCGAATAATGAATAACAAAATACCCCTACATTCTAGCGACTAGCAGAATTACAGTCTTGTATCTTGAATCTTGATGGGGTGATTAGGGTTTAGGGGTCAGCTTTCACTTTCGCGGTTGGAACAGGGCTTAATGCTTTCATATTCTAGTTCTTGTTTGTGACAGGAGATGGCCCCAAATCCTATTCTGAAAATAAGGTTGTTGTGAGTTTAGGTACAGGGGCACAGCACCCGATCCGTACACGGCAGGTGAAGTTTCCTGAGAACTTCTTCTTGCTCCGTGGCAACCACGCTCCCTGTCTGTTCATTTGTTTGCTTTCGGGAAATCTCTGGTAGATGCTCCCAGGCCCTAGATCAATGTTCGAAACTAGAGGGATTCAAACTCCTAAACCCAAAAAAACCCTAACTGCCAAGTGCCCAATTTCGTGGCACTGAATCTCAAACTTTTTGCTTTCCTCATGCAGCAGCCCGTGCACGTCCGAGGAATGCGCATCGATCACTCGCATCTACGGGCAACAAGTCTGAAGGATGGTTCGGAAGATAGCCAGAACGAAACCAAGCCCCTATGGATCCATACTCAAGGGTTGCAGGCCTCGAGGAGTCCTTGTTCAGATTTGCATTGCCTGATGAGGTCTGGAAGAATCTACTGAGTTGAGGGTTTGATAGGGGGTTTTGTGTGCACATGTTGACTATGGCGTTTCAGCGGCCTGTCGCTCTTCAGCACCTGCAAGTGTCCGTCCTCTGTTGCTGCGGATGCATAAGAAGGACCGGATATGTTAAGCAAGTTACCGCGAAAGTTGCAAGGCTCATGCTTCCAATTCAGTTTCCGACCACAGGCAACTCACATGAAAATGCAGGGCGCGGGTTTGAGAAGATGGGAGCCGGGCTCGCTAGAAGGGGGTCTGGGTTCGGGGCCTGTAGCGAGCCAGCAGTGTGAATCGCAGTTTCTGTGTGTGTGTGTGTGTGTCGACATTATGCTGTCCTGCCTGACTCGTTGCGAGTCACTATGGCTGCCGAGATGCGAAGTCGGCCTTGAGGTTCTACGATGAGTGTAAGCGACGCTACAACATCAAACTATGGAAACAGTTCTGCCTCCCAGCTGCACCGGAGTTGATCTTCATGTTCGTCTCTTTCCTGTGCCGCGCAGAAGCACCGTCTAATGCACGGAGTTTTGAGAGCGATCTGAGAGGGAAGAGTGACTGAGGTTGAAGGGCGCAGGGATGAAGTAACCACTTTTCCAGGTAGCTTGCGCAATTCGGCGTTCTGACTAGGTGGGGGGCCCGTTGTTCACAGGTTGTCTCTCGCTCATGTAGAGGTTATAGAAGCTATCTGTTTGCTTATTCGTAGTCGGTTCACATGTAGAACTCAGCTAGGATTTGATGCCTGACGTGGTGCATTGTTGCATACTGTATGTGTGTGTGTGTAGCACAGCATCAAGTAGCACGTTTTCTCCGGTCAGAGCTTACCCAGTTAGTTGTCCCAGTACAAGCGCGCTACAGCACACGCTATACCTGCCACAACAGCATTCTCCAGTTGCACGTCCAGCATAAGGTTGCTGAGACACCTTTAGGGACTTTAGTTGTTGCACGAAAATCCGGGGCAACTGGAAGTGGTGGAAGGGTGCCCCCCCAGCTCATAGCCCTGAGCACTTCTGGGGGGCTTCCCTGAAGTGTTTTGGGACGGCATCCCAACATCTTGCTGACCGGAAACTTAGGCGACGTCTTCAACTGCATGCCCGTGTGCGCAATCATTGACGAGCCTCGTTCTGCACTCTGAGAGCTCCAACTATAATACATTAGTTACATTCTTTGGCTTATAAAGCTGCTTGAGATCGTCCCTTCTTTGCAAGGAGTCTTAGCAAAGAAGGGATAATCGGAAGAACAGCAGGATGCAGAGTAAGACAGCAATTGAAGGCTTCTCGGTGTGCGCTGCCCATGTTTTCCTGTTAATGCCTCGCTGAGCGCGGCACCACAGCACGGACTTGTTCGACAGACGGAAGCCTGTGAACCCTGAGGAAAAGATCATGTGCATGCATGGAGGCCGGTCTTCGATTCTGGCTTGCGCAACCGACGGTAGTTGTAATGATATGCCCCCATGCATCCATAGCAGACATGCGAAACGGAGCAGTTCGTTTAATTTTACGTAAACCGTAAGCATGACAGTCAGCGTGACATAACGGCTGCCATGTTGCTTGAGCTTCAGACAGGCCATCGGCTCTCTCTACGCTAGGGTTTGGGTTAGGATGTGTTTCGAGTTCTAAGCAAGAGCGGAAAGGGATCCTCCAGGTAGTGAGCTACTTGTGTGGCATGCCATTTTTCGATACATCTGCGGTGATGCGAAGCAACCAAAATCGCCAAGTCAGCCACATCAAGCACAAACAGATGCACATGTTCCGCCTGCACGCAAAGTAGGTGTATCGTAGAGATTCCGTGGCTGCTTCAACTCGAATTTCTACATGTCGTTTCGATTCCCCCAAGATGGTGTGAACAGCCGGTAAGTTTCGCTAGATTCTTCTGCAGAAGGTAGTTATGCCTGCTGAACCCTAAACCCCGAACCTCTAAACCCTAAACCCATTCCGTCCCGTCGCGTGTATTCCGCACGAGGCTTGTCGCCAGAGATCACGAGCTTCGACCAGGTCAAGCGCATCGTCCGCCCGACCGATGTGCCGGACACAGGCTAGTGGAACTAACACACCGAAGTGGAAGACAACTGACCCTAAATTAACCCTAAATCCCAAACCCGCAGCAACATGAGCGGACAGGGGCGATGAGAACAACAAAAACCTACACACAAAGTGTCGCTCACGGCTTGAACAAACGAAGGTCACTGCTCAAGATTCAGATTAGTCTTGGCTCTCCCTCTTGCGAAGTCCCCGTTCGGGAGACTAAATCAGATCAAACTCGATAGTTAAAGTTTCTTCACAGAGACATCGTTCAAAAGGGTTTATACGGTATTAGAGTGACTGGCACAGGCACGTTCAGTAGCAGAAACACCTCAAGTCTTGCCTGGTTCCAGCCGAGGGCCACATTTAACAGCCACCCAAGTTGAAAAAATGCAATTGTTGTTCGAGGCAGTGAGAACCGTCCGTGACCGGTCTAGCGCCCTTCACATTGGCCGTCATGTTGCCAACTGCCTATGTCAAGATTCGCATGCAGACGTGACATGTATTAGGGACCCATAAGCATAAGCATTTTATGGGGATATCCCTACCTTATTGGGCCTCATTATAAAGGGATTTATATGGGATGTCCCTATCCTGGTTTTTGCTTATGTACTTTTTTGGGGCCCTAGTGTAGATCATGTAGAACTGCTGACGTTGCCATCTCTCCCGAGGCCAAAGCAGGAAACCACTGGATTTGACCTAAACTGCTAAGTCTGACCCAAAGGGTCCATGTAACCGAACAGTATATACTTTGGCCCCAGAGCACCGATACAGGGACTACTTTAGGGCCTAAGTATATATGATGTGGGCATGTGGATTCTTAGGGTGAGCTAGTGGTTCATGGAGCCCACAAGACGCTCGTGATGGTCTCGAGTTCGATACCCCGTCAAGCCTTCGCACAGGTCTTATCTGTGACCTACTGTGGGCTGACCCCGACAAGGACTAAGGGAAGTTTTACAGGGCTTGCTGTGGGATTGTAACAGACGGCAGACCAATCGAAACTAGAGGTGCGCAGGTTGCAGATAAGGGACTTTCGGAAGATTCAGGCTCCGTTTCGGGATGTCATTTATGCTCAGGGTCGTAGTGTCTACCTGAAGGATCTTCAATGGGATCCCCGGTTTTCTGCAACCCCATCATGTTCAGCCGAAGGCCTTCGTTTTTCTTTAGTTGAGAGTTTAGAGAAGTTACAAAGTTAAGTTAAGGGTACTTCTTGCGATCTGAGTGCCGCAGCAAGAGGACATCTCAGGATGGGCAGAGAACGACCGTGGCGTGTGCCTAGACTGAAACAAGAAGGTGCCTTTGTGCGTAACTGTTGCCAGGGTGAGAGCACCCCGCTTGCGAATCCGATACTTCAAAGTTGAGTTCAACGAGCCTGCATGCTATCTTCTTACTGTTATCATGTACGACTGCCAACAGCACCAGCAAATACTACTGCTGCTCCTACCACTGCCACGACCACTACCGTGAGCACTGCCACTGCCGCTACCACTATCATACCCACCACTGCCACCCCCACTACATACTACATACCGACACCACTACCATTACCACTACCACAACAAAAAATACGACTGCTTTACACTGCCAATGCCAATGCCACGAGCACTAGTATAAATAACCACCACTACCACTGCGACCGTGAGTTTGACTGCAGCCGCAAAGCGCCGACGACTACTCGCACGGATAGCACCACTGCGACGATCACTATGGCTACATGGCCACAGTGAGAGTGTGACGATCCAGGTCTTTCATCTTCGGCCCTGATGTTGTAACGACCTTCCTTCACAAGCATGCTCCTTGGCGTGGGTATTGTTTCTTCAGATTTCGGGGATAGTGCACAGGTGTGCACAAGAGTTCTGAGTTCAGTAGACAGCAGCTACCCTCCAAGACACCTCGCAAAACCGTTCGAGTCACGGAAGTGCCCGTGCCTGTTGCGTTCTCCAGTTCGCTTCTGCAACCTCAGCCCAAACCTTATGTTAACCCCTGAACCCCTGAACTCTAAACTCACTATAAACCCGAAACCCTGAAGCTGAAATTGTGCTGAAGCTCGAAGTGAGGAAGGCCTTGGTGGGATTCGGAAACCGAAGTAGTACCATATAATGTATTTTACCACACTATATACCTGTGATATATCCCAATACCCTATTCTAAGTATGAAGGTTTCTGCATAATCTCCTCTTTGGAGTCTTGGCAGGTGTAGCGCCAAGGGTATCAGACCGGTGGGTTCCGCACGTCGGGCTAAGATTTGGAGTGCAGGGCTCGAAACCAGAAGGAGCCTTGAAATTCCAGCACTCAGGGCTTCAGGCTTTCTGGAGTTTATCCTTTCATGCAGAAGCCTGTTATGCAGAAGTTATGACCCTAAAAGACCCCCTTACAGAACCCTTAAACGAGTCCCATAGAAGAGTTGTGGGTTCATGGTTCAAAAAAGGCCCCAGGTCCTGAGGCAGCTCACCGGGCGCTGCGCTAGGGTTCCGACCTTAGAAGTCCAATCCGAGATTGTAGTGTCAGTGTAGGGGCCTTAATAATTAGAACAGGTTCTTGGGGGTTCTTAAATTCTAATCAATGTATAGTAGACCTCCCAAACCCTATCATAATTATTAAGGCCCCTTGAACCTGAGGACATGGACCTGGTATGCAGGGCCCACCAAGTCGTCGAGGATGGTGCTTCGGCGAAGCTTTTGGTTCGGGGGTGGGGGGGGCGCTGGTGCATAAAGTCAGAAAGTGTGCAGCAGGTGGCCCGTATATCGTGACTCAGAGTTCGATGAGCGGTGTGTTTCCTTGCAGCTGGGGCGGGCCTCGTGTAGGTCCATACAAGCTGGAGTTTCACCACCAAGGATATGAGTTCTTCGCCAAGCGACAGCTGATCACGCTTTTCAGCGCTCCCAACTATTGCGACTTGAATGATTTCGTCCTCTCGCGGTGGGTGCTGACGTCTGAAGTTACCCTCCCTGTTAGGACGATGCGTGCACTGTTTCTCGAGATGAGCGCCTGAGTATGCTATTTTCGAGTCGCTAAGTCGTTGTGACGACCATTGGCCAAGTAGCCTGTAGAAGTGATTCTAACCCAGCCAGATAGCAAGGCTGCCGCAACTGCGCCCCTACGAAGTTTCCAAAAGTGTTGTTGTGGCCTGGGATTTGTTGTATAACGGATCCTGCCTCCCAGCAAGATCGATTCCGAGCAGGATGAACTCCGAGTTCAGCTAGTAAGATAGTGCGTATTAAATACAGTATACAGGACATGTGCACACTCTGTATTCTCAAGTTGTGCTAGCAGTGATACCCCGAAGTTCGAAGCTCGACATTGACATAGAAGCCACACAAACTCCGATGAACCCATACAAAAAAAGGAGCCCTTTCACTGCCACCCTGAGGTGGTGAGTTCGACAATGCTGGAGCAATGATGTCCATCGACGACACACTCATGCGACCTGTTTTGAAGGATTTGACCCAACATGCCCTCTGAAAGATAGTTTAAGAAGAAGAGTTGAGGGACCACATGCATGTTTCGGGGTGAGGCAGAACCCGAAATTTCCTTCTGCTCC